TGTTGCAAGGCAATTTCTCGTGTGCGCCTCGCTAAATCTTCACTAGTGGCCCTAAAATGGCATGTTCGGGGCCCCCGCGGCTCGCTGCAGCCCCTAGACCAATGTTTTTCAATCTTTTTCGAGCCAGGGCACATTTTTTTTCATTGAAAAATCCCGCGGCACGCCACTACCTGAAAATGTGAAAAAAAGCCTCTTTGAACAATGAAGTGTTCTATTGTTAGGAGAAGCGTTCTTTCACATTGAAAACGAACGCGATATCATAACACATTGAATAGGAATAAATGCAATATTTGGTGCATTCATTTTAATGGCAAGTAAGATCTCGTCAATTCGAAGTCTAACTTGCTCAGGGTGGGATTTTTTTTTTTTCTATGTGACAGCCGCTTCTTTCTCTCCCGCAATATTGGACCAATCGCTTTTCCCCTCTTGAGTCTTTGTATCATTCCAACGTCATTCAAATGACTTTTCTGATGTATGTGTCGCTTGAAGTAGTCCGGCTTCCATTTGGTCCCTATTTTTTCCATGGAAAATGTGTTTGCAGCTTCCACTTTGCCGCCTGTTTTACAGTGCACTCCAAAAAGAGAAGCGTTCTTTCACATTGAAAACGAACGCGATATCATAACACATTGAATAGGAATAAATGCAATATTTGGTGCATTCATTTTAATGGCAAGTAAAATCTCGTCAATTCGAAGTCTAACTTGCTCAGGGTGGGATTTTTTTTTTCTTTCTTTTCTATGTGACAGCCGCTTCTTTCTCTCCCGCAATATTGGACCAATCGCTTTTCCCCTCTTGAGTCTTTGTATCCTTCCAACGTCATTCAAATAACTTTTCTGATGAATGTGTCGCTTGAAGTAATCCGGCTTCCATTTGGTCCCTATTTTTCCATCGGAAAATGTGTTTGCAGCTTCCACTTTGCCGCATGTTTTACAGTGCACTCCAAAAAGAAAAGATTTCACCCAGTTTCGCCGCTCGTGCTTCTATTTGCACAGACTCCGTCAGCCATTCCGACTTCAAAGAAGCGCGGTTCCTTCTTATTTTGGTTGCGGGAGGAGACGCGTCGCGTTCGCCGCCCGGTCGTTGCGCCACGATCAACGATGAGCATTAGCATTAGCATTAGCGTCGCTTCTCGCCGACGCATCGTTGTTGTTGTGGAGCGCAGAACGCTAGCAGGTACTGTTGTGTCAATGCCGTGATTGATGGCGTCATTGCATCGTATCGCGTGATTGGCCGGACACCTGTCACTCACTCAATTACGCAGCAAATGGATACAGAAAAAAAAAGGTTCTATAGTGCGTTCACTGCGCTGCATAAGGTTTTCTTGTGGGAGAGTGTGCGACCAGTGCGCAGTTGCGCAGCTTACAGGGAACTTGGGTGCAGTCAATCGAAATGAAAGCGACCTTTAGTTGGAACGCCTCACGCCGGAAACTTCGCTTGTCTCGAAGCATGAGGCAATTAGCTAGCTGCTGCTGCTCCCTACCGGTATGGAAGAGTACTACACGATCACAATGTCGGGCGATGACGGCACGGGCAGGCACGCGTGTTGGAGAATTTGCCGCCACGGCGCACCTGACAAGATCTCGCGGCACAGGGTTTGAAAAACACTGCCCGAGACAGCCAGGGGGGGGGCAAAGAGGTGAAGCATCAGTAGACAAGACTTAACAAGACATTTGTCACGAGACTGTCACTGGGAGGGGGGGGGGTCTTTCTGCAAACTTGCTGCGTTCTCTTGACTGCCGTCAAACAAGTTGACTGGCATTTTCAATTGATGTGAAGTACGATATCAACTACTCTCGATTGGATATTTTCATACGTTCCTGCTTTCAAGCGGAGCAAAAAAAAAAATCAGTCAATACACGCATCTTCAAAATCTTCTACTCTGAATTGACCTGAATGACGAGGAGCGGTAAACAGGAGACAAAAAAAAAAAACGCAAGGAGAACTTGTGTCCGCTAGAGGGTACCAAAGACCAGCCTAAAAACAAAGCAAGAATGTGCCCACTCATCCCCGCCGTTCAGGTCCAAACTGCAGTCGAAAGTCGTCGAGTGGTTTGGGCTCGCAGTCCATGGCAGCGACGGCTCCACTATTTGCGGACGCCACGTTGCTCAGGACGGCAACTGCACCAGAACGATCGAAATGGCACGTTGACCACTTGATGTGTTCTGATGGTGATTGGATGGACATTTACGCTCGAAAAGTGGTTTTTTTGTTTTAGGTCCGGGCAAAGGAATTGCACCCAAGGTCAGCTGTTTCCCGCCCGTTTGCTCGAATTGGCGTGTTGGCAAACATGCTTGGGCTGAGGTGTGACGGATGCAGGCTCGGCCCAAGTGTGGAGCAAAAGGGGCGGGGTCACAGAGCACACCCTCCACGTTCGCGATTGAGGGGCACGAGGGTACAAGTGTGGGTCCTGGGATTGGGTCCGATGGCGCGTCACCTGCTCAACGAGGGCTGAGGCAGTGACGCTGTGGATGTTGGGGCGGGGGGCGGGTCTCTCTATGTCGCCAGTCGGGCGCTGGACCCTAAGTGGCAACACGAAGCTTTCTTCGTCGTCTCGCGCTTGTGAAATGGAAGCTCGTTTGTACTTTATGTTCTCTGAGCGTACACTAGGCGGCAGTGTTGCTAGAAAATACTGTTGAGATGAAAAAGTACAAAGTTGAGTGTTGAGCTGCCCTCTGGCCTGCCGACGGCGCATATGAGGGACGATTAAAGGGACGGACCAAAACCCGCTTGCGTCCTTGCTTAGTCCGTCCTGTTTACAAAAAACTTCTCATCCTCCATCCCCAAAATTGGCGGGAGAGACCGATTGGTCCATCTCTCCCGTCTCTGCTGCTATTTTTGCCTGACGCCGTCACTCCAAAAATTGCCACCGCTGACCCTGAAGGCCAAGCTGCTCCCAGGCCACGCACGCGCTTTCATTCGCACGCCTTCCAAACGGGGGACGCATAGGTGTGTGTGCGTGTGTGTGGGGGGGTCGGTTGCTCTGCTCGCGACCCCTGACCCGCGGGAGACATCCGATTTCCAGGCAGGATTGTCCTCCACAAGCGGACGATCGGGCGCGGACGGGACGTCTCCCCTTGTGCCAGTTTCCGTTGGAGCGCATCGGGTCCCTGCCGGTCTTCCGCGGCGCGCGTCCGGACCCCGCCGGTCTTCCGGCGGGCCCGTTGAGACAAAGCGTCCATTGAGGCGTCTCTGTCCGCGCGAGGGGTTCCCATGACGACCTCATCCGCCCCGCACCCCGTGCGGCGCGGGAGCCAAAAGGGCAAAGCGGGCTGGATGCTTTGGCGCCGCCGGTTTGACTGAGCGGCCTGCCGGTGGCCTTTTCTTCCAATGTGACGGGAATGTGACGAGAAGCCAGCGGTTGGCACGCGTTCCGGCGCCACGTCGCTCGTGCTGTGCTCATGGCCTTGATTTGGTGGTTCTCACGTTGCAGGAGGTGCGGGCTTGTTGGCCCACTGACGTTGGCCTCGTTTCTACTTTCGCACTTTGTTTCTTGCGGTTCCGACGGAAGGTGCACGCAGAAGCCCCGGCGGATTGCGATTTCCGTGCCGCACCTCTTAAGAATCAGAATCACAACAAGCTTAATTGGGGAACCTTCAACCTGTGTGTGCGTGCGTGCGTGCGTGTGGTGTGGGCTTTGCTGTGCACAGAAAAAAAAAGCGTGAGTGCCAATTTGCGTGGGTGCACGCTACCATTCAGAGAGGCAACGGCTTTGGCATAAGAGCTCGGTTTGGACCCCGAGTGCGGTCCCGCGCAGATGCTTGCGTGCCTCGTTTCGAGGGGATGCGAGGCGGCATCTCGATTGGCACCGAAGGACGTCGGCCGCGTTCGCACCCACCGAGGCGCAAACTGCCCTTTTTCCAAATACGCTGGCTTGCGGAATGACCGGGGGCCGGTGGAAGGTGCCTCCCTCCACGCGCGGTTTGGTGCTCGTTGCTCGTTGCGCGTGGCGTTGGAGTCCATGTTTGCAAACGTCAAAGCCAATCGGTCGGCAGAAACGGGACAAGACTTCCTGTCGAAAAACCGACTTGTGGCCATGTGGAGCAATGGACGCGAAACGCTCCGTCGGGACACTTCATCGTGATCAAAGCTCGGTCGTCATTTGCACGTCGATCATTTGTCGATGAATCGCCGGCGCGTTGCGCTTGCAGATGAGCGGGAGTAGCCGCGAGCGCGCTGGCCCCGCCGTTGAGCCGCTCTCACTTTAGGAGCTCATCTGGATTAGCCGCCCGGCTCCATCGGCGTTGTCCCCCCTGCCGAGCGTCCCGGCAGGAAGCCCGGGACAGATGGCCAGACTCCGGGCCCGCCCCAGGGGTCGTGCGGTGGAAGGGGGGTTGGGGGTACCCTCGTTTGTTGACGTGCAAGTCACTGACCCGGAGGCAACCGTCCCGCTGGCCGCAAATCTCGCCGGCGCCGCGCACTCGCTGGCCATCCCCGGGGTGGCGAATGGACAGGCGCGCGTTCGGCTACGGACCACGAGGCACTCGGGGGTCAAGCGCCGGGCCAGATGCGCACCACTGTTGGACGCGCGCGCGCCGGAGTGGATTGCCGCGGGAAAGACGCACGTTGGTTGTGCAAGGCCGCTTCTCCAGTGTCCAGAAAAGTAGTGGGAGCAAACATGCCGGGCGGGCGCAAAAGTGACTTTTCGCTTTTGTTTGCCTCCAAACCAAAACAGCCAAAACAAGATTTGAGCGAGCCACGTCTTTCTTTTGGTGGACCAAACTGCAATTCCTTTTTTGCGGGCGCAAAAAGCAGCAGCTTAATTGGACTGGGTGATGTTTTTCCTCTTTCTTTCTTTCTTTGTTTGCTTGGGTTTTTTTTTTTGGGGGGGGTGGGGGGGTGATTGCTTGACATGCGTGGCTATTTTTTGCCCCCCGACCCCCTCCCCGGGGTTCCCGTGCTCTTCCTGCTCAGGCGCTATCTGACCTTGCTGACCTTATCGGAGCCACACCGAGCCTGGGCAGGAAGCGGCCCGCGGCCGGCGCGCTGTCACTCAAACGACCCAAGGCGACCGCTCACGCAGACAAGACAAGCAGCCTTTCCTGTCACGGGGCAAACTCCGAAAGGCCTCGTGACAAAGTCGGCCCGATCGGGAGACTTTCTGGCCCATCACTGCGCACCCTAGTGAGGGGAAAAAAAATGTTTTTGTGGGCACCTTTGGAAAAAAACAACTGCTAATATGACGCAACACCAATAGAGGAGCCCCAATTTGGGGGAGCCGCACAAGCAGCTCGCAGCCACCCAGTCAAAACCACCAACAATTGAAAACGTCTTTTTGTTGTCGAGGTACACTTCCCCAAAAAATGTTTGGGGGGGGGGGGCAGTAAGTGCGACGACATCTGATGTTTCTCCAGCAACCAAAAGGAATGAAAATGTCCTGAGTTTTGCTCTTTGATGAAAAAAAAAGGCGACATTCGGGAGACTTTCCACTTCGCATTCACGCAGCAAGCGGACGTGCGTCGTGACGTCACTTGAGTGGCAACGGCTGCGACGTCACAGCCCCAAAGCGGCCGCCGCGTGCGCGTGACCCCTCCTCCGCTCTCGGGGCGGAATCGGGGGCGGGGCCAAAGGGGGCGGACGGCGGGGACCTCCGCCGTCCGCGGTCCGCCCTCATTGTTCGGGCGCGGCGGACACGGGCGAGCGGGTGTGCGCGCGCTCCGCACCGGACCCAGCCCGAGGTGACGCTTGACGGGACCCGGACGGAGCCGAGGGCGCCGGACCTCCCGTTCCGGTGCCGTGCGCGTGCGCGCGTGCGCCCTCCTGCGCGCGCGCGCGCCTCTGCGGAGCAGACATGGAGGAGCGCGCGCGCTTCCAGAGGAGAAAACAAGCAAACCCGCGCAGGAAGAACGGTAAGAGACGCGCCACGCACGGACGCACGCACGAACAAGTCAGCAAGGGGGAAACCTCCGCGGACCACTTTATGTTGCCACAAAATCAAAAAAAACAAGAAAGCGCAAGTTGCCCAACATGAACTAATTCACAAGCAGAATTCGAAAGAATCCTTCTGTGCAACTTCCTGACATGACTCCGAGCGTGCGCGTACGAGTAGCGCTGTTCAAGCAGCTGACCCGGAACCTGCGAATTGTTGTCGTCGCGGTGTGACGGGTCAGGCCGAAGGTTGCCCGGGCACTCGCGTTTTCCCAGCGGACGGCCATTGGGACACAAGTTCGGGTCAAGAAAGAAAAGCCCTCGTTGCGCCTTGCGACATCGCTCCGCGTGCTTCGGCTGAAATCGGACTTTGTCTTCTGACTTGTACGTCAGGCCGAGTGCCTCGTCGTCCGCCGCAGGCGTCGAGTCGCGATTTGAATAAGAGAAAAGGATGGCGCGAAAGAGAGCGCGCACGTGGGGGCGTGCCTTTTTGCTGTCACGCGACCGAGTCACGTCATCTTACGGCCGCCGACTCGTTGGAAACGGCCCCATTTGTTGTCGTTTGACAAGCGGCCGCACCGCGCCAAAGGAACTCTCGCAGAATATTCCATAAGGGCTCAAAGCGCTCTCTCTCCGCGAGCCCGACGCTTGCGCGTGGCGGCCGTGGCCCCTCCCCTTCTTCGCTCACTGACACAAATACGTTGGGTCGGCCCAGCTCCTCGGGCAAGGTCGCACTCGCCCGCGCGCAAAACGATCAATTGCCGATGGAGCCGGATGAAGTCCGGGCTCTGAGAGGCGCTCAGAAGGGTCGTCGACGAAACGACACCGAGGCGTCCCCTCGCCCTGGTTTCTGTTTGCCGCGTGTTCGCACGCGAATGCAAGTGCGGCGATGGCACTAGCCACGGTAGCGCGTTAGCCTGTTGTTCCCGTGCTGACGATACGACCGGCGGGCAGAATGAGGTCGAGCAATCGATTGGCGGGCGGGCGGCGACGACGAGGCCGCGCTCGGCGCGCTTGTGCTTCCTGTAGGGGGCCCGGTCCCGGACCACGCGGGCGCCACCACCGCTGCAACGCAAGCGGGCAAATCTCCTTTGTTATTTGTATTTCCGTGTCGGCTCCCCTCACCATCCATGGGTCGAGGGGGGACAGATGAGACGGTCGCGCCTCGATGACGTCGTCACAAATGAACTCTTAAAAGCGGGATTTGATCCGTCCATGTGATTTGCGAACGCATATGAAAGATGGACTTCAACCGGCACGTTAGTTCAGGTCACGTTTGATGTTCTTTGCCGCCGTGAAACAATGGTATGCCTGTGAGTCTTGTTATATCGTCTGTCTGCGTGTGTTGTTCCACCGTTTGTGTTGCTCGAAGCCATCGTTGAGGCTAAGTGTTACCTTGTCAAAGGCATTCCCCATTCATTGTAGCATGAAGCTAACAGACTGCTCTCAGGGCAAGCTAGGTTGCGTTTTGAAAAAAAATGTGAACCACCTCCTTGTCTGTCTGGTTGACTTTTTGCGTCGACGTCAGCTGGGAGCAAGGCCACCGTAGGCGACGAAAACTCAACGTCTATCACTCAAATTAAAACCGCAAACGAGTTTTGGTGAGAAGAATAAAAAATAAAATAAAAAAAAAAAAGGCAACCTAAGTCAAGATTCATCTGGCCTATTTCTTCCTCGTTTTTTGTCTTTGCCAACGCACGTGAGCTTTGGGGGTCTCGCGAGAGACTACAGGAGGTACTGCGCTGTCCTCCCGCGTTCCCGAAACGCGCGCGGCGGGTTCACGGAACGCTCCAAATTGCCCCGCGGCCGGACGGTGAGCGCGACCGGTCGTTCGTCTCTGCGCGCGCCCCGCGACCGGTTCGGGGTGGCCCCAAGACGGCCGGGTCGGGCTCCGGCACGCCCCCGACCCTCCTGACGAGAAGCGGCTCGCGTGGGTCAAAACAAACAAACGTACTCTCAAATCCAAACGGGACAGAGTCAATTGAAACAAACGGAAACGCTCATGACGAACGGCAAATGGCTGTCAAGCGGGCCGGGCGGGGCCTTCCTTCGACAGTTCCAGAGGAGCGCCCAACGTCCACTTGAAGACATCCGGCGACGGATGTCAATCAAGAGCGGTCGCCTGACAGGAAGATCATGACTTCAACTTTTTCACGCTTCCTGAGTCAGCACTTTTACTTCTGCAAACCTTCCCGGAACCTGACTCTCTGCGTGTCTCCATGCGTGTGTGTGTGAGAGAGACACACACGAATGCGCGCACACACACACACACACAAGGATGTCATGGTGTCTGCTAAATAAGTGCCTCCCCCCCCCCCCAGAGTTGGCCGATGACATCACAACGTGGCGAGCCCGGCGACAAAATGGCGAAGAAGAAGAAGCTGGACAAAGGCTTGGTGAGTGGCCACGGCAACGCCTCCACCAGGTTTCGGCACGTTGACCTTCTCACGGGAAGGATTTGACCGTTTGGGGCTTCGATTCCCCCTTTCAAACCCGCCGCCGACTTCCGCCCGCGACTCGCACGTCGCGCCAGCGATACGTGGCATCCGCACGAAACTTTGGCGTGAAACGTTTGTGCCGGTTTTGGAATTTCAGGGCAATTGCTCCCCGAGTACCTTTGGCGGAGCGACACGGCCATCATCTACCCGGAAGACCCGGACGAAGGACAGCCGCCTTTCGGCCCGGACGGCGACGGCGCCGAAGCCGGGGAG